GATGGCAACCGGTTCAAGTTACAGGCTAAGCTTGTGATGAGGACCTGACTCCTGCAGGAAATTGTCCCTGGTATTTAGGGCAAATGCGCCTCTAGGCCAGCAGCTTCAGGGTTTAGGTTTAGCGTGAGACTGCGTATTCTTCTGCAATCGAATGCATAGAAGACAGATAAAAAGCAGAGAGGCTCTGGCTGAAGAGGGATGGGCCATTGTCCTACCTCAGATCTGTCACCACCACCTGGGCAGCCCCTGAGACACCTACACCAAACCCCGAGGGGCCCTGAAAAAAGCTTTCTCTGACCCCAAGACCGAGGCACCTGCAGTGGGTTTCTCTCGCTTACCACTTAGCATAAACCAAACCACTAGATGGCATTGAGTCAATTCCAACTCAAGGCAACTCCATGGGTGTCAGAGCAGAACTGTGCTCCGTAGGTGATTTTTTGGAAGTAGATCACCAGGCCTTTCTTCTGAGGCACCTCCAGGTGGACTCAAACCACCACCCTTTCAGTCAGCAGCTGAGCACATTAACCATTTGCATCACCCAGTAGCTCTGGTGGCACAGTGGTTAAGCACTCGGCTGCTAACCTAAAGGGCAGTGGTTCGAACCCACCAGCTGCTCCGTGGGAGAAAGATGTGGCAGCCTGCCTCCATAAAGATTTACAGCCTTGGAAACCCTATGGGAGCCGTTCTACTCTGTGCTGTCCGGTCACTATGAGCCGGAATTGACTGAAGGCAGTGGGTTTGGCTTTGTTTTTTAAGAGTCTGCTAGCACTTAGCATTGTTGTTGCACTAATGCATGATTAGCCTGGGCACGGCAGGACTGGACCATCGTGAAACATAAGGTTTTCATTGGCTGATTTTCAGAAGTAAATCCCCAGGCCTTTCTTCCTAGTCTGCCCAACACGCAAGCCTCCTCTGACCGACAGGTGCTGACTGTGTTTGCAGTGCATTGGCCAGAAAGCAAACCACGGTCTCCTCATGGAAGGTGAGGATTCTGCCACCACAACACCACGGTCCCCTGCACTCAGCACAGTCCCCCAAATGACTGGCTGCCATGGCTGCCCTTCCCCCACCACACGGCCAAGTGTCAGCTTCTTGAGAGCAAACATTTTGGGAGAAGATGAGTGTCACCATCCTTGCACACCCAGCATCCAGCACAGTACCTGACCTGTGGTGGGCTCAGCAAGTGTTCGCTGCACTGAACTCTCCACAGACAGAGCAAGAGCCTGGGAGATAGAGCCGCCCTTCCTGGAACAGGTCAAGCCGGGACTAGATGAGCACTAACCTGACTGTGAGAGCAGCCTCGAATCCTACCAAGAGCAAGAGGGGAACAATTTTTATTTTTAACATGCTGTAATGTTATCAACACACCAGTCACCATTCTTGCTAACCCCTTTCCAATCCTCTACATTCTGGCCATTGGTTCTCAGATGGTCAACGGTTCCAGAAAAACATTCCACTACAATGACAAGCCTCCTTTCTCACAGACAGACTGAGGTGGAGGACTTGCCTGAGCCCCCCCCCCACCTCACCCCGGAGGGTTAGCAACAGAGTCGGGATTAGAACCTAGATCTCCCGGTTTTCCCGATCCTCCTTCCAGAAAAACCATGATCAACGCTGAAGGTCCATGATGGAAAGGAAGTTAAAGCCTGGGGAGGAGTGTGTGCCTCAGGAGTCAAAGTAAAACTGCTTCCTTCTCTTCCCTTTATCGTTTGGAAACGATGTTCTTTAGACGTTTCCAACAAAGGAAGTAACTCTAGAATTCAGGCCTTCAAGCAAAACAGTGGCATTGATGACACAGAAGACCAAGCCTAGGAGAATCAGCTTAGGCTGGGAGGGTGTCCCTTGGCTGCGGTGGGCTGAGTGTGAGCTGACAGTACTCCCCCCTGCCTGTGTAGGGTTCCCAAAACTCTCACACATATAGCTTATGCTCAGAACAAACCCGGAAGTACCCAGGACAGGGAAATGAGCCTCCCAAGGGCATACAGCTGAGAAGTGAGGGGCTGGGATCATCCCAGCCGTGTGAGCTCTGAGCAGAGTGCTTTCTGCCACACCATGAGCGAAGCTTCTGTACCAAGGCAGTGGAGTGGGTAGGGGTGGGCAGGCCCGCCCCTCACAATTGCAGGAGCTACCGATGAAAGTATAAACAGGGCCCCGCCCACTGTCTGTCCCCTTCTCTTGCCGCCCCGACTCTCTCTGCACTGTGAGTGCAGGCCCCATCCCCACAGCTCCCTGCCCCTGGCCACCCTGAGGGCCTAAGGGTATGTACTTCTGCGGCATGGTTAGCCCTCAGTAAGATGCCTGGAGGGTAACTCATGCAGGCCCTGGGTCCCGGGTCACGGGTACCCGAAGCGTGGTTTAAAATGGGGGCACAGCCTCCGATGGGTGTCCCCTTGGTCTTGCAGACTTCTCACCCCATGGGGTGTCGTGGTGGGAAGAAGACCAGAACAGCAGCAACAACAAAAAAGTTGCCATTGAGCCAGTTCTGACTCGTGGTGACCCCATGTGTGCAGAGTAGAACTGTGCTCCATATGGTTTTTAA